GTTGTCTCTATACAAGCGGCCATCTTGCCAACAACATCTCGTTTTGACATCTCGCGTGGTTCTGTGTGATTTGGACAACTTCAAGTTACGCCCCTCTCTTGCAGTCCGCAGACAGACCCTCTCGAGACTCGACGGCGCCGAATGAGGACCCGTGCAGAGAGAAGAGGGGAGGGGTTTGGAATTTCGAGGGACGTGCAGTGATTGGTTTGCAACTGTAGCAGCCTCGGACCAATAGAACACGGGCACGGTCTCTTAAAAGCGGTTGTCAGGCCGACGCTCCAATATTAACATTAAAAGAGATTTTGAATCCAGTAGGAGGTGATAGTATGTTAATACAATTTCTAAAAATACCTCAGTTAATTCATAGAATATAGATTATTATTATTATTATTATTAGTAGTAGTGTTATTCACTGGGCTGAGAGGGACTTCGGCTGTAGATGGAGGAGCTGAACACGCAGCAACATCGAAAGCTTGAGTTCTGATAGGTCTGGGAAAAGGGCATTCGAGTCTCTGATCCATTGCTTCAGTAGATGGCGGTAATGCTCAATTGGTGCTTGCGAGCCGCCAATAAAAAAAATTGCTTCAGTAGATGGCGGTAATGCTCAATTGGTGATTGCGAGCCGCCAATAAAAAAAACTACTAAGAAGAAGAAGAAGAAGAAGAAGCAGCTCTAATATTTCTGCGTTGAGTGTCTGTGACGGCTATAGCGGTCTGACGATGAGCGGAAGAGGTAAAACCGGCGGTAAGACCAGAGCGAAGGCTAAGACTCGCTCCTCCAGAGCAGGGCTGCAGTTCCCCGTCGGTCGTGTTCACAGGCTTCTCCGCAAAGGTAACTACGGCGAGCGCGTCGGTGCCGGTGCTCCGGTGTATCTGGCCGCTGTGCTCGAGTATCTGACGGCTGAGATCCTGGAGCTGGCTGGAAACGCCGCTCGGGACAACAAGAAGAGCCGTATCATCCCCCGTCACCTGCAGCTGGCGGTGCGCAACGACGAGGAGCTGAACAAACTCCTGGGCGGAGTGACCATCGCTCAGGGCGGCGTGCTGCCCAACATCCAGGCCGTGCTGCTGCCCAAGAAGACCGAGAAACCCGCCAAAACCAAATAAACAAGAATACACAAAACTCCCAAAGGCTCTTTTCAGAGCCACCCACTTTCTCTTTTAAAAGGGCGATTGTAATTAAACGCTGTGTCGTGCTCCATTGTCTCGTCCTATAATTAAGGTTTGGGTATTAGCGCTATTGGAATGCACTTCATAACAATTTGCAATCAATTATACACTTGTTTAAAAACGCACAGCCATTGGTCACGTGATAAACGCATTGGCCAATAAAACGCCTGCTGCACAAGCGTGGCTGTTCTGCGTTCTGTTTGAGGGACTAGTCAGGAAGTCTGAGAGAATGGCGAGAACTGAACAAACCGCCCGTAAATCCACCGGTGGCTAAGCCCCGAGGAAGCAGCTCGCTACCGAAGCCGCCCGTAAGAGCGCGCCAGCCCCCGGCGGCGGCAAGAAGCCTCCTCGCTACAGGCCGCTACTGCCCAGATTAGTCCAATTTAGAGAATGCATCACATTTAAATAACCTTTCCTGTTTGTTGCCAATACATATAATTTTAAAGAGGGGAAAGTCAGAAGAAACTGCATTCAGATAATGTATTATTAGAATTAATATAACGGTGGGGTGCCATTGCTGTCTTGTCGAGGGGAAAAAAATGCTTAGAGTTCAAGAATAACTAAATACATTGGAATGAGAAAATATGGAGAGATGGAAGGCATATATTCAGAAAACATCCCACAGCACATAATTTGTATCAATTGCTTATTGCTTTAAATTCTGTATAACGTTTTCCCCCACGTTTTGTTAGAGCACAAAATAACTATATTAAACCATGGCCTGCAGATCCCAATCTATTTGTTGCAGCTGTACATTCTAACATCTCATGCCTTCCCTGGGAAATAAACCCACAACCTCAGTTTTACTTCTATCTGAGCTAGAAACACGAGTTCAGTGACAACTCCGAGACATGCTTTCTGCTGCATTGAAGGTTCCCAAGAGCATAGTGGCCTCCATAATTCTTAAATGGAAGAGGTTTAGAACAACCAGGACTCTTTCATGTTGACACCAGGTGGAAACGGGACAGTAACAGGCCATGCATACTTGTCAGTCTTTGATACTTGAATGGGAATGCTCTCTCCCTCTCAGTCGATAACTTGATAGACGAATGCACTCTGAAGACACACACTTCATTTACTAGAACGTTTTCTAAAAAAAAAAAAAAGCTTTAATAAATGCTTATAAGACATAAATGACACCATACTGTCTGCAAATGCATTATAAGTACTTGGAAATTTAAAAGCGTGCATCTCAATCTTACTTTACATAATGTATTATAAACAATGCAGACTACATCTATAAGTGGCACTACAACAAACATGAAATAAAACCCACTATGACCAAAAAAGACAAACTACCACGATTAAGTAGTTAAGAGAAAAGTGCTCTATCATTCATTCTGCAAACACTTCTGGAAACAGAAATGAAGTCCATTAGAAGACAAGAAATGCTGAACCCATCTCAGAGTCGACTGTAGGAGGTGTGGCCACCCTCATGTAGTCTACAGTAGTCCTGACCCACCAGAGCCCTCTTTTTGCATGGCTGACCCAGCCGAGTGATACCACTGCACAGCGGGCGACCTGAAAAAGAACTTCACAAAAAAATAAAAGATTTGAAAATTTCAGTAAGAGAACAGTAAAAAATAAGGCATTTTTCATGTCTTTCCATACCAAGACCTAATATCAAAGTCAAAACAATGGATTCATATAAACCATTCACATTTGTCCTCTCTTTATTCATTTGCATAAAGCAGGAGAACCCCCAACACTGCACTTTTTTAATGTCTCTCTTATCTGACACACATTTGAGGTCTTGAATCAGGTGTGTTTGATTAGAGAGACATCTAAAATGAGCAGTGTTGGAGGTTCTGCAGGACCAGGATTGGGAAGCACTGGCAAAAAGGGTCAATTTTGAATTGATGTTGACTTTAATAAGTCTTTGTTAAAAGATACCTGTTGCTGGCAAGTGAATGGTTGGGGCTTGAGCTTCGGGAGGGGTTCATGGTCTCCAGCACACCTCCTAGGTTCTTCTGAGGAACATTGTCCAGCACTGCCTGCCAATCAGACAATGACTTCAAGCACATGTTCAAAGAAATGTGCAGTTTGCAATCCAATTAATTAAATGCATAATTAATATTACTCTTAGTTGGGGGGGAGTTTCTAAAGCAGTGGCTGCCACAAGGGGGCCTACCCCAGATTTCTGATTGCTTACAATAAAATAAAATAATAAGTAATTGAATGTTTCGGGGGAAACTGCAAGCAACCATTTTAATAATTTATTGATAAACTAAAAAGTGATGAAGTTAATGATGCTTAATCGTCATCTCTGCGGTGGACGCGCAATATACACATTTCATATGGATTACATAATCGGAGAATTTTTGTTTTCTATTTGAATTGGTTCATTATTAAAACATTTCACGTTCTATAGATTTCGTTCGAAAGCAGTATTTCTTATGTGAAGCACAGGAGTTTCGCTTCATTTTTGATGCACTCAAGTTCACAGGGATCGAGACGGCAGAGATAGTATCCTGTTTGGTTTCATTATTTTACAGCGCACAACGTTTTGTTATTGTGAGTGTACACAAACAAATGTAGACCCTTAACAGATTCGAACGATGTAATTATTCTTGTCTGGCTACGCCACTGTTCTAAAGCGTTACATTTCTTTAACTTCACTGTACTACTTAAAGTTATTGGCACGTTAGAGTAGTCGCGCGCTCTCAGATGCAGCTCTATGTGTGCGCGCTTTGAGTGTGAGTTCACAGAGAGCGTGCAAGTACTGAACTGAGCACTTGAATGTTTAAAATTGTAAGACTCAAAAGCATGTGCAAATGATACATTACGTCATCTGTCCTGAGCGTCTTTCACGCTGAAATATTTGCGGGAATTTTCTGTGTTACAAGCGCGGAAACTGCGGGAATCAGAAGAATTATGCGCAATCCCACACTGAAATTCAAGCCCTGTAGTTGTAAAGTTTAGGTATTAGGGATGTAGAATATGGTCATGCAGAATAAGTGCTTTATAAGTACTAATAAACAGCCAATATTTTAATAATAGGCATGCTAATAAGCAACTAGTTAATAGTGAGAATTGGTCACTATACTAAAGTGTTACCAATTTTTGTATCATGAATTTTATTTATGTACTAAGTTTGTCTCAGGGCTGCATTGCTTTATTACAGACGACTGCTACTCATGTGTGTAATGATTGCAGTCAGTTGACTAAAATGGGAAGAAAAACACGATACATTTCAAGGTTTACATTTTTTTCTTCAAGGCCTATTAAATTTCCTGTTTGATTACAGTAGACAAAGTAACACAAAACGGTAAACGAGAATCAAATCTATGCATAAATTGAATCCAACAACAACTCACTGCTCCAATGCTGTGGCGACTCTTGAGTCTGGGGGTTGAATGGTTGGGTGTGCCTGTGATTGGATGACTGAACTTTGGTGGTCCATGAGACTGAGATGGGGACATGGACAGTATGTATGGATCACCTACACCAAGAAAGGGAGGGGAGAAGGGGAGAGAGAGATATGTAAAATTATAAAATCTAGATCATTTACATTTCCTGAAGAAGATGAGAGTTATGGTTATAGGTGTGAAAACCCACTACTATGATGCTAGTGGTTGTGTGTGGTTGGCAGCTGGTTACAAATGTGCTCAGAGAGGTTTTTAGTGTGTTGCTATATGGATTCTAGGGAGTTTTCTAGTTGGTTGCTCACTACTCTAGGTCAACAGAGCCCACCCCAAATCTTTATGGCCTTGCAAACACTGCAAAGTTTTGATAACCAGGGATTGTGATTTTTTTGTTTTTTTTTGAGGTGAGGTGAGGTAACAAATCTAATATGTGATATACATCATGCTTCAGCTAACATTCTCTGGTTCAAAACCCATCCGTGCATGCAACTTTAAATGGCTTAAAGGGATAGTTCACCCAAAAATGAAAATTCTCTCATTTACTCTCTTTCCATTTGACATTAGCCACTGACTTCCATAGTATGGAGAAGAAAAAAAAAATATATATATCTTTTGTGTTCAAAAACATGGTGACTATTGACAATTTTTATTTTTGGGTGAACTATCCCTTTAATGTTGGAATTTTGTTTCCTATTGACTTCCATTGTAGTTTTTGTCCATACAAAGGAGGTTGATAAGAACCAAAACTCTGTTTCCACAGAAGTCAGTCAGTCATAGAGGTTTGGAATAACATGAGGGCGAGTACATTATTAAAATTTAGTTGTACTTTGCCTACTTTTCTTTTTAAGAAGTCTTAAATTTGGGAAAGGAAAAACAGGAATTAAGATTCTGCCTTATGTGATCAGTTAACTTCACATTTAAGTGTAGTGCTGTTGTGTTCTTTTGTCTGCGGTTTCAGAGCAGTTCAATAAATACAGTGCATTTATGCCAAACACTTGCTTATGGTAGACTGCTGAAGAGCTGATCATGTTTTCTTTATGGTTTTAATAGTATAATTACACAACCATCTACAACACATGTAAACTAGAACATAAATCATTTTCAATACATATGCATGTATTGAATGATACACTGTTTTGCAATTGAATGTATGCCCAAGCCTGTTTAATATATATATACACGCGAGAGAGCGAGAGAGAGGATATGATTCTTTAGGGTCTTAATGAAAAGTCTATAACATAATTTGGTTAAAATTTCTCAATGGTAGTCAGGGTTCCCACTCTTTCATGAACACCAGATTCAAGGACTTTTTAAAGCACCATTTATTTTATATCAAGCACCTATCCAATTCACACCCCAGCATATGTAGTGTCATGAAAGACCTTACATTACTTAACATTTCACCACTTACACTTAACATTTACATAAAAAATTTCAGAGTAATAATGTTTTTAATGTGTAGGTTTCATAAATTTAGACCGTTTTGAGCAGTTGTGTTCAAAGGAATTTAATTAAATCCATTGAAGTCAGTACTGGTAATATTCAAATACAATTTCTAAAATATTGATAAAATATGCATCAAACTGGTTTTTGCTGTAGTTCTTGTACAAGATTTAAATTTGAAAGAATTTCTTAAGTTTTTATATTAATTAAAAGTGGTTAAATGTTGTAATAACATGGTAAAACCGGTTAACATTACAAATTTGCACATTCACTCAAAAGAGA